ATATATATATATATATATATATATATATATATATATACATATATATATATATATATATATATATATATATATATATATATATATCTATCTATATATATCTATATCTATATATATATATATATATATATATATATATATATATATATATATATATATATATATATATATATATATATATATATATATATATATATATATATATATATATATATATATATATATATATATATATATATATATATATATATATATATATATATATATATATATATATATATATATATATATATATATATATATATATATATATATATATATATATATATATATATATATATATATATATATATATATATATATATATATATATATATATATATATATTAGGTAGGAGTACAATATAGTGTAACAGTTTTTTTTTGCATGTTAGACCAACAATTTCTAGCTACCAAAATGGTTGTAAATACATGTACACAAAAAGCATCCTTAGGACATATAAAAGAGAAAACATATTTTATAAAACGATGATTATAATAATTGTATTTAAAAAAAGGATAAGGTGAAGAAAAAAGTGGCCTTGTTCTCTGATACTTCACTCAGTTAGGTATGGCTCATTATTGAAGAATTAGATGCATGACAGGAGACCATCTCTTTGTAAAAAATTTTAAGTAACGTTGGAAACCGGTAACCATTGAATTCCATAGTATTTGCTTTTACTACTATGGAAGTCAGTGGTTACAGGTTTCCAACATTCCTCTAAATATCTGCTTTTTGTGTTTAACAGAACAAAGAAACTAATTAAAGTACAACCAAATAAAGTGACAGATGAGTAAATAATGACAGACTATTGATTTTGGGGTGAAGTTACTCTCTCTTTAAGTGAAAATGTGTGCTGAAATTAAATGTGCTGGTTGACAAAACCTTTTTTTTTTTTAGGTATGTTTGTTGGAGATGAAATTACCTCAGTGTCAGTGATGGTGGGACATTCGGTCACGCTACAAACTGGGATCCCTGAAATCCAGAAAAATGAGTTGATCCGATGGACATTTGCTGAATACAGAGAAATCGGCCGCTCTCCATTTGTGGTCATCGCTGAATATAATAAATCAAACAACCAGCAAAACAGGTTTAATGAAAGAATATTAGAAGAGCTGGAGCTGAACCACAGGACGGGATCTCTGACCATCACAGGAATCACACAGAGACACTATGGATATTATAAACTACTGATGAGCAGTGAAGGGCAGAGGATCTCCAAGACGTTCAGTGTTGTTGCTAAAGTGAGTTTTTCAATGTAAGCACTGCCTTAAAGAGACAGTTCACCAAAAAAAAAAAAAAAAAAAAAGAAGAAGAATAATAGTCATTTACTTTGACTCCAGTCGTTTCAAACATTTGAGTTTCTTTCTTTTGTAAGAAAGATGTTTTCACATAGTTTCCTTCTATGCTGTAAAATATTATATGATCAAATTGTTTATTGTAACCAAATTAATCATGTTCTAACTTCATTTTATAAGTTACACAAGCTGTCTAAAGTCAATTTGACATAATATAATTGTAATGGACTCATAAGGTTAATTTGATTTAACTTAAAAATTTAAGGCAACCAGATTTTTTTTAACAGTGTGAAAGTCAAAGGCTACTGGATTCTTCTGCAAAATGTCTTCTTTTGGGTTTAACAGAAGAAAGAAACTCATAAAGGTGTTAAAAAACCTGAGGGTGAGTAAATGGGTTTCATTTTTGGGTGAACTATCCCTTTAAGTAGGCCCACTCAAAATCTCTCATTAGTTTTGGCAAGCTTGATTTTTTTAACAATTGCTTTTTTTTGTTTGTTTTATTGAAGCCCTCAAGGAAAGAACGGAGAAAAACCTGCCCTTTATAACAGAGGAGGACTGCACAGAATAAATCTGCAACATCATCCACCCCAGCTCACTGACAAAACAAGTTCATATGTACCTTAAAATTACATTTATTTGTTAGCATGTAGATGCGGCATGGTGGCTGGTTAGCACTGTCACCTCACAGCAAGAAGGTCATTGGCCTGAGTCCTGACTGAGTCAGTTGGCATTTCTGTGTGGGTTCTCCCAGTGATGGGTTGCCGCTGGAAGGGCATTCGCTGTGTAAAACATGTGCTGGATAAGTTGGCGGTTCAATCCGCTGTGGGACCCCTGATTAATAAAGGGACTAACCCTGCTGAAAAATCCAGCTTAAACCAGCCTAGGCTGGTTTAAGCTGTTTTTTTTCAGCAGGGAAGCCAAAAAGAAAATGAATGAATGATGAATGATTTTCCCCGAGTTTTGCCAATGTATATGGATATTAATGTATATTTAATATTTTTGTATTTGGATGTCTCCACTGGTTGGTTTGGGACTTGTGGAGCTGCACATCAATGCATTTGCTCTTAAGTGTTTGGACTTACAGCATTAAAATTTATTAAACTATGACACGGTAAAAATCGGCTGTGATTTCAACGGTAAAAAACTGTAAAAATGCTACAGTAAAAATTTGTAACCTGGTTAATAGTGGCTGCTTCCGAAACCGCATACTTCCATACTATACAGTACGCTAAAATCAGTATGCGAGCCGAGTAATACGTCTGAATTATTCGAAAATCTTACCCCCTAAACCCAACCGTCATTGGGGGATGAGCAAGTCATACTAAATTGTACGAATTAGATCGTACGAATTCATACAAATTAGCCACCAAATCAAAAAGTTACCAATTGCCGTGAGATTGTGTTGGAATAACATACCTTGTAATCGACCCTTCAGAATCAAGTATTCTAGAGCGTTGTGATAAATGTTGTTGTTAATGTGAAAAGTAACCTACAGCTTGACTTTTTTGTCATTTTTTTCATTGATATTGCTGTTTACTCTGACTGTGGTAAAGTGTGTTTTGAAAATAATGTACTCTGCGTAATGCCTATGTATTATATATATATATATATATATATATATATATATATATATATATATATATATCCTGCTGAAGAATCCAGCTTAAACCAGCTTAGGCTGGTTGGCTGGTTTTGGCTGGTTGACCAGCCTGGTTTTAGAGGGGTTTTGGCCATTTCCAGGCTGGTTTCGAGCCATTTCCAGCCTGGTCTTAGCTGGTCAGGCTGGAAAATTACCAGCCAAATCCAGCTAAAACCAGCTTGACCAGCCTGGTTTAAGCTGGATATAGCTGGTTTTAGCTGGACTCCCAGCTTGGGTAGGTTGTTCAAGCTGGTTTTAGCTG